CTCAGGAGGCAGAGGCAGGCGGATCTCTGAGTCTACAAAGCAAGTTCCACTAGGGCAGTCACAGAGAAACCTGTTTTGAAAACCTGTTAGGAATGTTGATTTAAATATTTAATAGCACAAACGGGAGGGGTAAAAGAAACCTTTAAAATTGTTAAAAGTCAAGAATGGAACCAGGCCTTGGTGGCGCACACCTTTAATCCCAGCACTCGGGAGGCAGTGGTGGGTTTGAGGTCAGTCTGGTCTACAGAGCCCAGTTCGAGGACAGCCAGGGCTACATAGAAACTGTCTTGAAAAACAAAAAAGTCGAGAATGCTGGCTTTAATCTCAGCACTCAGGATGAAGAGGCAGGTGAATTCCCTTGAGTTCAAGACCAGCTGGACCTGTACAGTTAGACCCTTCAAAAGATATAAAATTTGTTGTTAAAGATGGAGTTGCTTTTTATGAAAGCCCCAGTGAAGGCTACACTCTTGGGGTGGTTGAATATATTCTGGTACTCTGGAACTTAATGATGATTGTCTATTTGATTGCTTGATGCAATGTGAAAACCACATTTCACCGGCTCTGAGAGTTCTTGAGTTGCCATTTAAAGGGAGCTTGGTTACTAAAAAGGATTTGGAAAGAGGAATTGCTGGAATAGTAAATACTTTGTCTCTTGCCTAGGGAATGGGCACTGTTCAAAAAGGAATGCCTCATAAGTGTTACCATGGCAAAACCGGAAGAGTCTACAATGTCACCCAGCATGCCGTGGGCATCATTGTAAACAAGCAAGTTAAGTAAGTGAAATGCTGTAGATATGATGAAGTAGTCATCACACACCCCCTTTCACTTTGCCAATTGGACTTCATGTCTTCATTGGCCATTCAAGTGGGGCAAAGGAAATAACCTTTTAAAACTCAGGCAAACTTAAGTGTTTGTCTTGTAACCTGTCAGGGGAAACATTGACGTTCACTGGGAAGTCTGGTGGAATGGTTGGTGCTTGTGTGTTGGTAGCATTAAAAGTTCATTAAAGCTTCATTAGCCGGGTTTGGCTAAGTTACTATTGTTTCAGGGCCGTGTTCATCAGAAAAGTAGCTTTGAAGTGTGCTTTCGGGCCTCTTCCTTTGGGTAAGGATGATTGACGTGAGCAGTGTTAACTTACTAGATAATAGTTGTCAGACGGTGTGCATTTCTGTTGGGTTTGGAATGAAGCATTTAGGACATGTATTGGTCTTTCCAGGGGCAAGATCCTTGCCAAGAGAATCAACGTGCGGATTGAGCACATCAAGCACTCTAAGAGCCGAGACAGCTTCCTGAAGCGGGTGAAGGAGAACGACCAGAAGAAAAAGGAAGCCAAGGAGAAGGGCACCTGGGTGCAGCTGAAGCGCCAGGTGAGAGCCCGGCCAGGCAGTGTGTATTGTTATTGACCGTGAGGAATCATGAAAACTTCGCTCACTTAACTTTTAAAGTTTGAGAATTGAGTATTTGTTAGTTACAAAGAGCACTTTAAGGTGTTGGTGGTATACGCCTTTAATCCCAGCACTCAGGAGGCAGAGTCAGGCAGATCTCTGTGAGTTCAAGGCCAGCCTGGTCTACAGAGTGAGATTCAGGAAAGGCTCCAAAGCTACACAGAGAGCTACCCTGTCTCAAAAAAGCAAAAAAAAAAAGAGCACTTTAAGGTTTCCATAATCCTTTTCTTTCTTTACCAGCCCGCCCCACCCAGAGAAGCACACTTTGTGAGGACTAACGGGAAGGAGCCTGAGCTACTGGAGCCCATTCCATACGAATTCATGGCCTAATGTACAAAAAGAAATAAAAGACCTGGACTGTAAAGGACTTTTCTTATGTTGAAGTGTGTCGTGTCTCCTTCCTGAAAGAAAACGTTGAAGCAGATTTTAATTGTGCTGGTTCGTTGTGTCTTGTCTTTTTCTTTTTCTTGAGACAGGGTTTCTCTGTGTAGCTTTGCGCCTTTCCTGGATCTCACTCTGTAGTCTAGGCTTGCCTCGAACTCACAGAGATCCTCTTGCTTCTGCCTCCCAAGTGTTGGGTTAAAGGTGTGTGCCACCACCGCCCGGCTCATCGTGTCTTTTCTATTCAACTTTTCCCTGTTAAATGATACAACTTAGTGTGCAAAATACACACTCTTGGTTAGAAAAATGGCCAGATAGTTGTTCTAAATCACCAGAGGGAAAGACGTAGAAAAACTAGTGAGTAATCAGGCCTGGTGGTGCAACTCTAATTTTTGCATTTGGAGGTTGAGGCAGGAGGGTCTTCAAGAACAGCTTGGGGCACATGGCATGACGCTATACAAAGTGGGGGGTATCAGGGAGGTCGAGTCAGGTGTGTGGTCCCCTGATGGTGAAGATGTGTCTTGTAGCTCTATCCTCCAAAGGGGGTAGACAAAGTTTAAGCCAGATGGAGAGGGGTGGAAGTGTGGCCCTAGACAGGTTGTACTGTTGGTGAAGAAAGCCCTGGTCTAACTCCCCCAAAGCCTCATGTCCTTTCACAGTGGGGAGTGAGTCCAGCATGGATTTTGAAGGATCACATTAAAGCCATGGCATTCAGCTCATGAGTAGCAGAGTTGTGTGTCATTGACCCTGTTTTAAATAGTAGAAATGGCCCAGCCTCCATCTTTGGAAAAAATCTTACTGGCCCTTGACAGGCCTGGTCAGTTTGTTCTTTGCTCTGGGTTCTGTCCGGGTTCACCTTTCTCTAAGGCCCGTATGGGCAGTGCTTATGTTGTAGCCCAGCAACTTTGGAGTGGGCTCTGCAGTGCCAGATGCTGGTGCTTGGTGTGGCAGCATGTATTGGAGCTGGACAGTGAAGAGGAAGGTAAGAAACCCACTGCTTCGTTACGGCTAACTTCAAATCTGTTCTGGAAGTGGGGCTGCTTTTCAACTGTATGTGACGTGCCCGTTCCTAACCACAAGCAATGGAGCTAGCATTTCTTGTTGCTTTGTGACCACAGTTCATTCACTGCTAATGGTGAGCTGTGAACACATGGTATGATGTGTCAGATACATGGTTGAGTTCATTGGACCACCACCCTCCATCTTGTCTGAGGACCCCAGTTCCTAGTTGTGGGGATTCTGTCTGCATTATTTATACCTTCAACCCATAGTGATGGTTTTTAAGAGCAAGTGGTTAGTTCCAGCAACAGCTAGGGTTACTGCCTTGGGAAACAGGGTTCTGCTCTGGTCTTGTGGTGCTTTTCTCCTGGGCTCATGGGTGCTGAGTCACACTTGGGGGCTTGTTTTTCTTGAGCTTTTCAGCAGAGTGCCAGTTTCTGTTAAGAAACTTCTGAGCCCTTGGGCTGTCAGCTGCTGACTGTTCTCTGAGTGCAGAATAGCTCCCAGCATCCATATCTAAACAAAACACTGAAATCCAGTTCCCAGCTGGCTGCTGCGGCGCCTGCATACCTTACGGGGTGCGCTGTGCAGCATGGGTGGGTGAAGAGAGAAGGCACTCCAAGATGAAGTTTATGTGCAGTCTTGGGATGGCTGCAATGCTCCTTCAGTAAAACAGTTCTACAAATCGGGGAAAACAGTCACTGTTTTCCATAAGGATTCTTCAAGGTCAAAGTACTTCTAAAGAATAGCTGTCCACTCTAATATCTACCCAGGATACAGTGACTGCTGAATTCCTGTGACACAGAAGCAGGCAGATCACTTTAAGTCCAAGGCTAGCCAGGGCTGCATAGTGACGCCCTGTCCCCAAACAAAAACTCGAGTTCTCAAACATTTCCTCTTTCAACCACGGCTTTGGTTCCTGTAGTGGGAACACAAAAGATAACGGTTTATCCAGAGCCCTGTAGTAGGTGTTTGGTTTTTTGGTTTTTCGAGACAGGGTTTCTCTGTGTAGTTTTGGAGCCTTTCCTGGATCTCACTCTGTAGACCAGGCTGGCCTCGAACTCACAGAGATCCTCCTGGCTCTGCCTCCCGAGTGCTGGGATTAAAGGCGTGCGCCACCACCACCCGACCTATGGAGTTCTTGGTTGCTGTGTTTACTGTTAAGTAAAGGTGCAGTGCTCCAGGTTGTGGCCATCTACATGCTAGCAACGCAGGTTGGCAGCTCTGAGCAAGGCAGAGACTGGACCATTTCCTGTCAGGCCACCATCCTCTGAAAAGTTGCTGTCATCTGCCTTTTTCTTGTTTTGACAGTAGTACTAACGTTCTTGACGATCTGTTAGGGTATGCTATTTCATCCTCATGGACAGCTTTGAGATTTGAAGACTGCCATGTTTCATGTGTAAGTAAACTGCAAGAGTCTGGCAGAGCTGAGCCTTGACACTGTGTCACACCAAAATGGCCTTCACTACAGCTTGACTGCTGTGTGGAGGCTAGACTTCCTTAGCTAATATGTATGAGTGGGTGGTCTTTTAAAAATAACAGACTGGGAGGGCTGGAGAGATGGCTCAGAGGTTAAGAGCACTGGCTGCTCTTTCAGAAGTCCGAAGTTCAATTCCCGGCAACCACATGGTGGCTCACAACCATCTGTAATGAGATCTGGTGCCCTCTTCTGGTGTGCAAGCAGAACACTATACATAATAAATAAATCTTAAAAGAAAAAAAACATTATCCTAGCCGGGCAGTGGTGGTGCACGCCTTTAATCCCAGCACTCGGGAGGCAGAGCCAGGCGGATCTCTGTGAGTTTGAGGCCAGCCTGGGCTACCAAGTGAGTTCCAGGAGAGGCGCAAAGCTACACAGAGAAACCCTGTCTCAAAAAACAAAACAAAACAAAACAAAAAACCATTATCCTGTAAAAATAACAGACTGGGGCTGGATGGTGGTGGCGCATGCCTTTAATCCCAGCACTCGGGAAGCAGAGCCAGGAGATCTCTGAGTCTGAGGCCAGCCTGGTCCACAGAGTGAGATCCAGGACAGGCACCAAAGCTACAAAGAAACCTTGTCTCAAAAAGACAGGACTTTTTTTTTTTTTTTTTTTTTTTTTTTGAGACGGTTTCTCTGTGTAGCCCTGGCTGTCCTGGAATCCACTTTGTAGGCCAGGCTGATCTCGAATTTAAACAGATCTGCCTCTTGAGTGTTGAGATTAAAGGTGTGTGCCACCACCTGGCCAAACTGGGGACTCTTAATCTCTCTATGTTTGGTCTTACTTTCTGCTGTGCTTTATAAAACTAGTGTTTCTCTGAAGTCTGGTCAACACTTTGCTCATGAACATTTGGCATTGTTAGATCCTCCTGTGATGTGGAAAGTTCTGGAGACGTAGGGCAGTGTTTGTTCTTTGCCAGAAAACCTTGTCTTCACCCTCTGTTGCCTTGACAGTCACATGGCACAGGGGCCGGAATGAAGGATTCCGAAAGGCTCTTGTGTACTTACAGTCTGATTTATGATTTACCCTGACCTGAGGAGAAGCCTCCATTTGGGGAGGGTAATGAAGCTGACGGGAAAGGAACAACTACCAGCAGAAGGGATGGGCAGCGGCTCTCAACATTCCTGACGCTGCAGCCCTCCAATACGGGTCCTCGTGTGGGGTGACACCCAACCATAACATTGCTTCTTTGCTACTGTTATGAATCAGAAATATCTGACATGCAACTCACAGGGGGGTCGTGACCCAGAGGTTGAGAACCACTGGATTAGGGCCATTATTAAGGGCACCTATTCAGAAAATTCTTTTCATTTGGTGTACAGCACAAGAATTTTCTAAAACACAAATGGCCTACCTATGAATATGTGCACTCTCCTTAGGCTTCTTCACAATTCTGGATAAAAGAATGTGATTTGCTGATGCTTGAATTATTTTGGCAAGTGAAAAACAAGGGGACTAGAGAGATGGTTCAGTGGTCAGAGCACTGACTGGCCAGAGCACATGGTGGCTCAGGACCATTCGTAGGTCTAGTTCCAGGGGATCCAATACCCTCTTCTGGCCACTTTGTGTACTGCACATGTGTGCTACACACACACACACACACACACACACACACACACACACAAAGCCAGGGTGTTGTGGCTGATGCCTTTAATTCAATACCATCACTGGGGAGGCAGGGGCAGGCAGATCTCTCTTGAGTTCGAGACCAGGCTGATCTATAGAGCTAATTCCAGGACAACCAGGGATGCACAAAGAAACCCTGTTCTGAAAAGAAAAAAAAAAAGCTTTCCCTTAAGGGCTTTTACCAGTATCAGTTATTAAGAGTTTGTAAATTTAGCAGGAGAAAATGTGATGTTACTGAGTTTGGATTCTGTTTCCTTTTATCTTTGCAGTTTGGGGCGGCCTTTCTGACCATTATTGAAGTACCTTAATTCTGCAGGTTTCATGGCTTTGAATATCATTCATATCCTGACAGTGACCCTGGCCCACAAAACCCTCCACCCGAGCTGTGGCTTCCTGACCTTTCCTCATGTGACTCCTAGCCCAGGGCCTGGTTTGGTTTCCCTCCACCCGAGCTGTGGCTTCCTGACCTTTCCTCGTGTGACTCCTAGCCCAGGGCCTGGTTTGGTTTCCCCACCTCGCTGTGCCTTTCTATGCCAGGCACACACTTGTTCAAAGCTTCTGTGCTCGGTGTTTCCTTTGCTGGAAAGCTTGTCCTACAGAGATGCCTGCGGTTTGTCCCCTTTCCATAGTCAACCTCTGCCCGGATTTTTGTCAGACCACCTTTTAATGGCCTATAAAAATAGCAAACTCCTTTATCATTTTTGTGCCTTTATTCTTTATAGTACTTATGACCCAATATATCTTTTTGTTGGGAAGTCTGAGTTTTTAATCCACGGAATTATTTACAGCTTCTTGTTAGGGTCAGGAACACTTACTGCTGTGGAAGGAGGCCAAAGAAGACAGTGCCACACAGCCCTGCTCTGCATGGTGACAACCTGGAAGATAGACAAGTACTTATGTGAACAAGCCAGAGGGCACTAGCAATGTGAAGGAGGACACGAAGGGCAGTTGGTGGCAGGGCTCTTGTTCCTGGCTGCCCGCCTCCCATAGTTATTGGGTGTGCAGTCAGAGGGCAGAGGTTGGACAGAAGTGGGGTGCTGCCTGCAGCTTTCTGCCCTCGTGTGCTCACTGAGTGTTCGGGTCTCCGGCATCGTGTCCCTTGCTTCTTCCTTGACTTCAGCCTACAGGCCTGGGAAGCTTGCAGGCGAGCAAGTCCTTCCCGTGCCTTGCTGGTCCCTTCTGTAGCTAAATTTCCTGGTTGCCCACTACACATCTGGCCCCCACCTCCTCCATGCTGATGTAACTATCCTCGGAGGTTGCCAAAATCTTGCTAATTAACACATTTAGAGGCTTTTTTCAGATTAATTTTTTTTATCTCCCTGTTACTTGGCAGCGCCAACCGGTTTTCTTTTCCAGGGGCTTCACCTCCACTCAGACGCCGCAGCCGCCGCCGCCAGTCAGTTCTCATTTGGCTGGTAAAGAGTTAATAACTTGCCCAATCTGATATTTGCTATTTGCAGATTCCGCCCTTCATGTTCATTGTAGACACCCACAGATTTGTGTGGTGTTTAACCCACGCATTCCTATTATCTTTCTAAAAAGCATTCAGCATGCCTGTGTTACATTGGCTGAAAGCTGTTACCAGTTTTACATAACTCTAGATACGAGTATGAAACAAAATAGAGCCCAGGCGGCCTCGATTCAAGAGAGCCTATTTATAATTCTTCAGCTTGGTGGCTCACTGTCTTCGCCAAAGGGTCAGCTTATTTTGTGTATCTGTAAATGTGAAGAGCTTTCCCAAGGAGAATGGAGACACTTCAAGTTCTTCCTAGCAAGGCGCACTGTAAATGCAAATGGAAACATAATTACCACAGGGCAAGGCAGAGAACAGGCTGTGGAATTTTCCTCATTGAATGACCTTAAGCCAGTGGTTCTCAACCCGTGGGTCGCGACCCCCTTAGCAAGTCGAAAGGCCCTTTCACAGGAGTCACATATCAGATATCCTGCATATCAGATATTTACATTATAATTCATAGCAGTAGTAATATTACAGTTATGAAGTAGGAACAAAGTAGTTTTATGGCTGGGGGTCACCACAACATGAGGAACTGTATTAAAGGGTCACAGCGTTAGGAAGGTTGAGAACCACTGCCTTAAACTGAGGGGTGGAAAACAGTAAAAGGAGTGAGGTGACAGTTTGGACAGTCTGCATTTTTGCCTAAGGGAGTTTGTGATGGATGTCATTGGCCCCTGCTCAACTGACATTCTCTGTGTTCATTTTTCATGGTGTTAATAGTCTCTATCCAGGAGGAATCATGATCACCACGTCAGTCATGGCTGTCATGGCGGGTCATGGCCATCCCATCCTTTGCCAGCTGTTTGGATCGCTCTCCTTTGTTTCATCTTTTCTGCTCTTGCTATTAAGATATAATGGGGCTGGAGAGATGGCTCAGTGGTTAAGAGCACCGACTGCTCTTCTAGAGGTCCAGAGGTCCCGAGTTCAAATTCCCAGCAACCACATGGTGACTCACAACCACTTGTAATGAGATCTGGTGCCCTCTTCTGGCCTGCAGGGACACATGCAGGCAGAACTCTGTATACATAATAAATAAATAAATCTTTGGGGTTGGGGATTTAGCTCAGTTGTAGAGCGCTTGCCTAGCAAGCACAAGGCCCTGGGTTCGGTCCTCAGTTCCGGAAGAAAAAAAAAGATATAATGGATAGTTTTTCTTTTAGATAGGGTCTCATATAGCCCAGGATGGCCTCTAACTTACTATGGAGTCAAGGATAGCCTTGAATTTATGATCCTGCTGCCTTCATTTCCTGAGTGCTACATGCTGTGCTAAGGGTAGAACCCAAGCCCTAGGGTGTGCTGGGCAAATGCTCTGCCACCGACCTATGTCCCCACCCCAAGCACTGTCTAATTTCGTAGTTACAGAGGCAAAGCAAGGTGGTCCCCCTCTCCGTCTCTGTTTGGGTGGGGAATTGATGCTACAGAAATCGTCTCGGTCCATCAAGGAAAGGCCCAGAGACTCCACGAGACAACAGCCCAGGATCCACAGAGCTTCCCAACAGGCTCTGGACAGCAGCAGGTCCTCATGGCTCCTTAAACGGGTCTCGTAGTCTTGGTGCCCAGGATTTTCCTCCACTTAGGGAGGGAAGCCCTGCTTCACATCTCTCCAATTAAACTGAAAGTTAGTGGAAGATGACCACCTCGTGAAAAGATTAAAATCCATACCGCTTAACTATGGCAGTTCATCGCAGGCATCTCTCGGGACATCTTTTTCCAAGAGCATCAACAGCAGATGTAAACGGGACTTTTGGCTCCATACGGTGGAGTCAGCATACATCATCCACCTAGTCATTCAGATGGTCAGCCAAATGGTGTGTGTGTGTGTGTTGGGGGGCTTCTTGCCCCTTTAGATATCCCCACTTCCTGAGGGAAAAGTTGCATGGTAGGACTCCTTCCCTGTGGAAATGGACAGCAAACAAACACTCCAACTGTAATGACAGTTGAGACCGAGGCTACCAAAGGGGTCCCCAGAAACTGAGATGGAGGCGGTAATGCTGGCAGTGATTTCTCTGTGTCTGCAAGAGGAGGGCAAGTAAGCGGAGATGCCATCTATTCCAGCTGACGAGGAGCATTCTGTGTTCTTCAGTTGAGAAAGAAGAGGAGGGGGGCAGGCAGGGAGACACCCAGAAAGGTGAGCGGAAGAAATCCTGGAACAGCAATTAGCCAGTAATGTGACTGAGTGATCAGGAGGAGTCACGGACCTGGCTTGGGCGACTTGCTATACGGAAGCACGTCCTTTAGCATTTTCAACAGCAAAACCAGACCCCATTCTCTGTCACTTCCTACGCGCTAGCCCTTTCCACTACAGCTTGCTGCTGTCCTTAAAGGGGTGGAGCGTGATTTCCCCATCTTTTGAATTCACGATGGCCTCGAGGTTTGCCTTGGCCGACAGAATGCACCAGAGGTGATAGCTGCTGCCTTAGGGCCACCAGAGAGGCCTTGCTCACTTCCACCCTCTCAGCCACTTCGAGGACAAGCCTTGCCAATTTCCTGGATGAGGCAGCAGTTAGCTGCCAGGCCTGAGTGAGTGGTGGAGCAAGCCAGCCTAACGCTTCCCTAGGGCTCGTAGGTTCTCAGCTACAGCCTCGGAGAGCTCCATCAAGCTTGTCAAGCCTGGCCTAGATTACGAACAGAAGAGAATGTTGCGCTGAGCCATTAGGTTCTGTGTGGTTGGCCATGCCGTGCAAGCTAACTGATAAGACTGGATGGAGAACGGGAGTGAAAGAGGGTAGGGCTGTCTAGTGGTTGGGTAGATGACACGGAACTACACAGGAGATTGCAAGGCTTCTGCCTTGTTACGGCGGCATCCAAGAACCAGCCATGTTTATCTTCCTGTGCCCACTTCCTCCTCCTCACACCCCCAACCTAAATTCCACCAGATACTTACCAGGAAATGTTTGAATAGTGAAGTAGATCCCGGAGCCAAGCGCACAGGCTGGTATTTACCACGGGGAATCCAGCCAGAATCAAGCGCCCTGAGTTTGAGTGAGTCAGTCAGTTCACTCTGTGACAGCAGAGCAGGGGCTGCCTGGGTTTGGATGCCCAGCCGTAGGCAACAGCTGTCCCCTGAGGGAGTTTATAGGTAAGTGACGGCAATTTCCTTGATTTTTAGTAAATTAGGGCCCTTGCCCTGGTCCTAGCCTTTTCCACAGTGATGTCACTCCTCAGTACCCTTTTAGATTATATGTGTGTGTGTGTGTGTGTGTGTGTGTGTGTGTGTGTGTGTGTGTGTATGCATATTTGAGACAGGGTCTTATGTAGGCCAAGCTGGCCTCGAACTCAAACCTTAGATGTAACCAAGGATGACCTTGAACTTCCTTCCGACCCTCCTGTCTCCACTGGGTGTGCCACCACACCCAATTTACAGGGTGCTGAAGCTCAAATTCATCCATCAGCACTCTGACAATCAAAGGCGCAAAAATTGGATCTCTTCTTCCCACTGTCCCAGGAACATCCAGCCAGCTGCAGCTTTTGCCCTTTCTGGTGGCCCAGTTCCACCTTCATGTTCACGCTCCAGGCTAGTGGCCCAGGTTGGCCGCTCCGGGGGCGGGTACCATCAGGACTCCACCGGCTGGGACCCGCGCAACTGGGCGAGCAGAGCAGCCCGGCGGTGCGCCCGCCCGCGGGTGACAGTCCCCTGCGCGCGCGCTGCCCCCACCACTCCAGGAAGGGGCGGGGAATAGGAGGCGCTAGAGGCGGCCACCGCGCTCCCCGAGCTCTTTAAAAACCGAGAGCCCGGACAGCTCTGCTGGCCGCGCCGCATCCCGGCGCCCTGTGTTGTCGCCTGTCCAGCCGGCTATCCTGCAGCGCGGTCGCGAGACGCGCCCATGCGTCCGCCAACCATGTCTGGGCACTTTCTGCTGGCTCCCATTCCCGAGTCTTCCTCCGACTACCTCCTGCCCAAGGACATCAAACTGGCGGTGCTCGGCGCCGGTCGAGTGGGCAAAAGCGGTGAGTGGGGCAAGGGAGCGCGCGCGCCCGCCCAAAGACAGCAGGGGTCCCCACCCGCAGGGATGCGGGAAGACCCCCGCCTGTTTTCTCTGGCAGTCCACTCCTGAGCTCTGGGCCGGGTTGGCGGCTGCTGAGGGTCGCTCCGGTCTCATCCGTCACATTCCGCGGGGTAGCCACTTTGTCCCGGGGACCCGGGGGAACGCGCGCCGTTCCCGTGAGGGCGACCACCTTGACCCACTTCTTCAGCTGACGTTCTTACTTCATTTTTCAGCCATGATTGTGCGCTTCTTAACGAAGAGATTCATCGGCGACTACGAACCCAACACAGGTTAGAATGGTTTCGTGTTCCTTGGCTTTTGGGCGTGAGTTCTGTCTGTTCTCTCTCCCCTCCTTTTTCGTTTGCCGGTCAGAGCGTGGGAACTCAAATGCAAACTCCTCTTGGTTGTACAGGCAAACTGTATTCGAGACTCGTCTATGTGGAGGGGGACCAGCTATCCCTGCAGATCCAGGACACTCCGGGAGGCATCCAGGTAAGAACTGTCACGAGGGTGTGTGGTGCAGCTGCATCTAACTTTGAGGTGATCGCCTCGGGGTCCCGAGTGAGATGTCTCACTCAGCACGTCTAATGTGCATTTCGATGTAGGTATCGGCGGTCTGTCACAGGTGAGCTGAGGGTCGGGATGCTGGATGCCCTCCAAGGCATGATTGATTAGAACTGATTCGCTCTTAAACACTACTTTATTTATTTTAAAGATTGTGGCTTGTTCTGCAGCCCTGGCTGACCGTCATTGCCTGGGCTGCTTAGGCAGGTATCAACACTTTCAGAGACCAGGAGCAATTTAAAAACAACAGCCGGCGGGGGTAGGGGGGGTGCTTTGCGGAGGTGAGGGTGGGGGAGCTGGGGGGGGGCGGGGCGGGTGGGAATGTAGCTCAGTAGTTAGTAAGCGCTTGCTCGAAGGTTCAGGGTTCCATTCCCAGCACCACATTAAAGAAGCAAGCAGTAGGTTGGATTCTGGAGGAAAAGGGCCTGCTTTCTGGCCAGGGCTGCCAAAAATGTTAGGGGCTATTTCTCCAAGCCAGTAATTGTAATCAGATAACCTCTTGGCTATCAGTCTGGAATGCAACTTAATTAATTGCTCAGCCCTTCTAGGGAGGAGAGGTCGTGTGGAAGAGTGCAGAGAAAGGAATTCGTTTCTGTAACGTTCTCAAGAAGTTGACTGCTAAAAATATTTTTTATGGGCTTGGGAATAGATATTTATGTTGGATTGTTTCCAGAGTTTTGTTTGTTATGAATTAGTTCCCTGAAAACTAAGCCATTCCGGTCTGTAATTATTCTTAAGTCATCAGAGTTCGCTGGAGACTGCCTGTCGAGCAGGGGGGTTAGAAGTGTTAGTCCAACCAGCTCAAAAAGGAATCCAGGGTGAGCATTGGTCCGAGGCTTTGTCTGTCAAAAGCCTCTTGCAGAAGCTAGGTAGAGCCTGACGACATTTAGCGATGTCTCCATCCAACCAGTGTTCCTTCAAGGGTCACTCCGGTGTCACATTTGAGCTTCCTTTGATCAGGTCCCATTTTGTTCTTTCTCAGGCCCAAGACAACCCCAGCCCAACAGTGGATTCTCTGTCCAAGTGCGTGCAGTGGGCTGAGGGCTTTCTGCTGGTCTATTCCATAACAGACTATGAGAGCTACCAGTCCATTCGGCCCCTTTACCAGCAGATCCGGAAGGTCCACCCTGATGGAAAAGCCCCTGTCGTCATCGTGGGCAACAAAGGAGACCTTCTGCATGCCCGGCAGGTGCAGACACACGATGGTCTTCAGCTAGCCAGTGAGCTGGGCAGTCTTTTCCTTGAAATTTCCACTAGTGAAAACTATGAAGACGTCTGTGACGTGTTCCAACATCTCTGCAAAGAAGTAAGCAAGCTGCACAGCCTCAGTGGGGAGCGGAGGAGAGCTTCCATCATCCCCCGGCCTCGCTCCCCCAACATGCAGGACCTGAAGAGGCGCTTCAGGCAGGCCCTGTCCTCCAAAGTAAAAGCCCCCTCCGCCCTGGGGTGACCCATCTCAGACAGACTGGTGACTTTTATTACTATATTACTACACATTTGTGCAGCCACAAAGACTGGGCCTTTCCCCTTTAAAACATATTGAGAGTTTATTTTTATAATGACTTTATTGGCTTTCAAGTGGATGTGTATTTCTGAAAATTCAAACAATGATTGACTAGAAGTTGTTTTTTTTTTTTTTTTTTTTTTTTTTTTTACTGTAACTGTTGGCCACTTTTCCATTAAAGGCAAAATGGCAATCTATTCCTTGTTTTCTGAATGTCTTTTTATAGAAATCTTGCTTGCACCAGAGCCCAGAAGTGCTCCGTGCTTGGCCCTGAGTCTGAACTCTGATTGGTGTCCTGCAGTAGGGAGGGGTCATGTGGAGGGAGTCAGCTGTGGGAGAGTGAGGTATGCAGAGGAGGGCAAGGGGGTTGACTAGCTACAGGATGTCCTTAATTAGGGCAGTTCTTCACAGTCAGGAAGTTAGTACTGGTTTTCCAGCACCCTGCTTTGTTGGAGACTGACGCTAAAATGCTACAAACTGTCATTATTATTTACTTATTTGTCCAAATGCCAGTGTAGCCTCTCCACAGTATAGTTTAGAGAACAAAAGCCCAGCTAGAGACTGGCACATGCCTGTGATCCTAGCCCTCAGAAGGCTGAGGCAGAAGTGCAAGTGTCAGACCTCCCCCCTCCCCAACCCCAGCCATGTATGGAAACTCCATCATAAAACCAGCGTCTGGGGATGGAGCTCGGTGGTAGAATGGATGCTTACTGTGCTCAAGGTCCTTGGTTTGATTCCCTAGCACTGTCGAAAGAGGAAAGAAAATCTCCTTTTCCAGGATTCTTCGTCAGTAAGTGAGCTTTGCCATCTGGGAGTGGCCTCTGTTCTCCCTCCCTCCTGCATCCCAGACCCTTTGCTGTATATGGACATAAAATGATCCAAGTATTATTTCATGAACTAAAGACGACTTTCTTGGGTTCACAATACCAGCAGAGGGGAGAGTGATGTGACGTCATTTCACAGTGAACACACTCCATGGCTGAGGGGCATTGACTGCCTGGTGAGCAAGGTCCAGAGTTGTTGGAGTCTACTTCACCATCAGGGTAGAAAAAAAGAGTATAATTGACGTTTGAGGTATGTCTTGTTTGGGGAGGTCTTGAGGATCGAACCCAGGACCTTACACTCCAGTCCTGAGCTGCACCCCAGCCTCTGAGGCATATCTTTACTTGTGTGCCCTTTAGGGAGATGCCGGCTTGATGACCACTATGGGCACCAGACGAATGAGGAGGGAGGTGCAGGTGTTGAAGGTGAGGTCTTGGAGACCTCAACATTGCTGCAACCTGAGCTGTACATCTTGCGGTCGCTGTTAGGGATAGCCTGGCCTCAGCTTCAGCTCAATGCTGTTAGGGATAGCCTGGCCACAGCTTCAGCTCTATGCTGTTAGGGATAGCCTGGCCACAGCTTCAGCTCTATGCTGTTAGGGATAGCCTGGCCACAGCTTCAGCTCTATGCTGTTAGGGATAGCCTGGCCTCAGCTTCAGCTCTATGTTGTTAGGGATAGCCTGGCCTCAGCTTCAGCTCTATGCTGTTAGGGATAGCCTGGCCGCAGCTTCAGCTCTATGCTGTTAGGGATAGCCTGGCCGCAGCTTCAGCTCTCAAGGTAAACTCAAGTGTATACATATCTTGAAATCCAGTAGTTGAGGCCAGTAAGTGGGACACTGACTGACTCACATATGGAGCCCGATAAGGCTCATGGAACCTTGCTGGAGGGAGAAGACGATCCTCTCAAGGCACCAGGTCTGTTAGCTCTGTTTTTCTCTAAAGGTCCCGTTATGCCTCTATCAGGGACTTTATAGGTCTTCTCTAGACCAGGCATCAAAAAAATCAGAGAAGGGGCTGGAGAGTAGATTCAGCGGTTAGGCTCACTGGCTGCTCTTCCAGAGGACCTGAGTTCGATTCCCAGCACCCATACAGCTGCTCACAACTATTTGTAACCCCAGTCCAAGGTTATCTGATTCCCTCTTCTGGCCTCCATAGGCACTGCATGCACAGGAACAGACTTAAATGCAGACAGAAACACCCAGACACATTAAAAAAAAAAAAAAAAAGCCTGCTTTCCTCACCAACAGCAGCTCTTGTTTGATTTTCATGACTGAACGCCTAACTGGGTTCCCCTTATCTATGGCAGACAATATAAATGAGAAATACCATAAAGATTATTTATCACCTCTCCAGTTTCGTTATTTTCTCGCTCCAACACACATACAGATATATACACACACACATATACATACATATACACATACACATACATACACATATTTACACACACATACATACACACATATACATACATACACATATATACACACATAACACATATACATACACATGTATACATATATTCACATATACACACATATACATACACACATACACACATATACATACATATACACATATACATACACACACATATACACACATACATACATACACACATATACATATATACATATATATGCACACATACACACATATACATACCTACACAC